GTGAGTGAGGGTGAAAGTCTGAGTGAGGGTTAGAAGGGGAGGAAGCGGGAGCGAAGGAGGAAAGGCTGAGTGTGAAGATGAGGCCGGGAAGGACCGAGGTTGGGATGAGGGGCGGGGCAGGTGGGAGCACGAGTGAGGGAGCAGGCGGAATGCCCTGCGTGTTGGGATGAGACTGGGCTAGAGCAGGGTGCAGGCGTGGGGCGGGCTGGAGTCCACCGCGGGGCGAGCGTGTGTGGGGGCGTCTGCAACTGAGCCTCTCTCTGGGGCTGGGCCCGCCGCCGTGGGCGCCTTGCTCCCCTCCGGGAGCGCGCACCCCGGCCTCCTTGCCCCATTCTCTCCAGCTCGTCTTTGGCGGGCCTTTCTGCTCAGGCCTACGCCGGGCATCTCACTTCTTTCCTCCCGGAAAGGAGGTTGTGGTGCAGCAAAGAACGGAGAGAGGAGGCAGCAGGGAACGTGGGAGCTTTAATGGGTCTGGAAGGGATGGAGACACACGGGCCAGTCCCGCGGGAGAGTAGGGGTGGGAGGCGGGGCCCCGAGGCCACCAGGCAAGTCGCGGGAGCAGTGGCCCTTACCAGGCCCGCCGAGGGGCCCAGGAGAGGCCTCCGCCAGGCTGGGACGGGCAGCTCCGTGGAAAAGAGAAAAAAAACGAGAAAAGATTTGGAATTCGAAAGAGGGGGGTCATCACGGAGGGTATTTGCAGGAGCCAGGCCTAAGCACAGGGCGAGGGGAGGAAGAGACAGGGGGATACAGTTGCGCTCCCCTAGGGGTTGGGCGGGGAGGCGGGGGAAATCCAGTTAGAGGAAAGTTGAGGCTTCAGGCCCTTCCTCGGGGCCGCCTGCGGCGCGCGGAGTCGAATCTCAGGTCGGAGGAGCCGTGGGGAGGTGCGCGGGCTCCTCCCCGGGACGTGGAGGGGACCGAGCGAGGCTCTGGGCGTCTGGGAGTGACCGAGCCGCCCGTCTAGTGGTAATGGCCCCCCAAGTGCGAGGCGGCGGCTACCGCGCCGAAGGGCCCGGGTGGGGGCTGCAAGCCGGGGCTGGGGTAGAGC